AAGAACAGATCATCCCAAGAGATGCAGGCTCGCCGTCCTTGGGGGCGGCGGTGTACCTTGACTGGCCAAACTATGTAAATACCGACTCAACCTCTGCATGCCCAAGGTGCGAGATGTCTCACCGATACTAAAATATGCTATTTTCAGGGGCAAACATATCAACGACCTACCTCTCCCTGCGCCATGTCTCTCGGTCCCGAGACATGCCTTTCCAAAAAATTAAAAAAAGAAAAAAAAAAGGTAAGTACCCAGCAGTTTGAAAGCGAAGCGTTTTAGCAAACAGAGGATTCATAAGTGATACGTGAGATACTTGATCACAGTCTCAGGATACGAAGAAAAGGCGTCGTTTTCGACGGAACATCTCTTCCCCGTCCGAACTACGTGGCTCGGTGCCTTACTTTGAAGCTGTAGCCTTCCATGACTTTTGTAACGATGCGGACGGGAGCCCATGATGTTCGTCTGAGCATACATTTGGGTGCAATCGGTCTGACGAGCCGATAGACCATGCTCTCAGTGAGCTACTCCTGCGTCTGTTATTGGTGTGAGCCGTGTCGGGTAGTCAGGCCCTGCATATCATCCATTATATTCTGCGGTGGGAGAGGATCAGAGCGCGGGACTTGGCATCGCAAGATTCTCTCGTTGAGAGATGCCAGAGCTCGATAGTCGAGAGCCTGGTATCTTGTAAACAATGTCGATGCGTCCAGCCTGGGCACGGGATGACTTCTTGTATTTTCCGACGGCCTGGTATACTGCCCCTGATACTTGAGTACTGGCTATGAAATGGGTATGATGAGAGTCTGGTTCCCCAAGGGCTATGAACTGCTGCCTGTGCTCTTGGCGCCGTCATATTTAAGTTGTCGTCAGTTCTCATATTGCCGTATGAAGCTTATCGAAGCAGGGAAATAGTGGGCAGCCTGAATCTGATAATTGACGGCCATTAGGCCATAATATGTAAAGTTTATCGAGTGTCTAGTAGCCTAGTAACCCTACTACCCTTGATCCGAGCCGGCAGGAAGTATAGTAGATCTGTGAACGAAACGACCAGCATAAGAGAAGACTGGCGTGCCAATGATCCTCAGCTCCGGCGATGTTTACCTCATGTGATCGAATCCAACAGAACAGGACTCATCAACTGACTAATGATGTAGTTGTACCATATTGCTATAGAGTATGTATCTGCTCAAGCAACACGAGCTGGCCGGAAGTCCAGATATGCTCAAACCAAGCAGATGGTCCGCTGACTGATTGATGCTCATTCCATACACGGGAAATCGAAGACAAATTAGGTGAATTATTAGATGTCATTATCAAAGAGTGTATAGCCTATTAATCCTTGCGCCAGTACCACCTAGTCCCTAACATTGTAGTCCCTTGATATGCTGATTCCAAGTGTCATCGCATTTTCATGCGAACCAGTTCGCCTCATCCTTGTGTCGAGTCTTGCTCGACCGAATGACGGGCCAGCTTCAAGTTACCCTGAGTCCGAGCATCCCCGGCTCAGCCAAGATGCCTTGTAAAATCGGGAATCCTTAAAAGGTAACATCGGGGCTGGCGCCAATGATGAGAACAGGGTTCAGCTTGGCCTGAATGTTGCGGATACGATCAGCAAGGCCGTTAGCACTACCAGCAGCGTTCGCCACGGCCGTGAGCGCAGTCGAGGCCGAGGCGGCGACGGTGCTGAGCGCGATCTGGAGCGCGAGATTGGCCTGGGTGTAGGCGAGCGTGTAGGCCGCCTTCGCGACGGGGTCGGCGACGGCGTTGGCCTGGGCCTGGAGGTTCTGCAGCTGGGTGGTAGCCTGGCGGGCGAGCAGTTGGGCCTGGACGACGACGTCCTGCGCGATCTGGACGACCTCGGCCGTGGGAATGGAGGGCGGCGCCGCGGAGGTCGCGGACGGGGCGGGGATGCCCGAGGGAACGACGCCCAGGAGGTTGCCGACGACGGTGCCGACTCTTGTGCGGATGCTGTTTGTGTTGCTTGTTATCTGGCGGATGACAGCGTTGACCTGGTCGGTTCTCTGAAAGGGGAAAGGGTGAGTATGGCTTTCGAGTTCTGGGAGGAGTTCAGTATGAGGGGGGATTGGACTTACATCCTTTACTGTTGTTCCGACAGTCCTGGTGAGGTCGCCGGTCAGGGTTGTTGTCTTGCCGAGGTCGGTGCTAACGATCTTCAACGCGGTGTAGAGCGGGTCCGTCAGTTCCCCTGGGTTGAAGACGACTTCGGGAAGAACGACGGTGCCCGGTGTGATAGTTGCGCGAGGGAGGATGGCTGCCTCGACTGAGGCGAAGGAGAGGACGGCAACCGCCGCGGTAAGAGCCTTGGTGTACATGTTGGCCTTTGAGCAAATTCTTGAGAAAGCAGACACTGCTAAGGATTAAAGTGAGAGGAAAGTGAGAAATGTGATTGGGGTTGTAGTTGCGAGTTGTTGATGATCGGAGGAGTTGTCAGCTCTGGGTAGACGATATTGAGGCCTCTTATAGGAATTTACGAATGCTTCGGGACAGGCGATGTCTACCAGACCGACTGAGTATGTTCGATATCTGAAGTCTCGCAATCCGCAAGTAATGACTCCGATGCCACGATGACGAGATGTTTGACCCTGAGGTTGCGAGTTGAAACCCTCATCCGGATCGACTTCTCCTCGTCAAAGGCAACTCTCGATGCCAAAGCTCCAATGTCCTCTCTCATCAAAAACGTGTTGTCCATGCCGATATCCGTTTTCAGGATTGGACTCGGTCGAAAGAAGCATTGGAGATCATCTCGGAGTAGTTGTTGATCACATCAACGATTGTCCCCCGGATTGACGTCGGGTGCCAAGATTGATCAGCGCTCAGTGCCGTGGTAGAGAGGTCGACTTCTCTTCCCGGCGTGGATGATGTTCCTGCCAAGATGCTAAGGGATATACGGATGCTGGAAGCGTCAGATACCAAGCTTTCTTGGCGATAGGATCGCAGCAAGACATGAAATGTCTGTTTTGACAGTAACCAATAGCTTTTCACTCGTGGCAAGCACAATCAGACACGTTGATACAAAAATACTACCCGTCGTCTTGAACAGAAGATCTTCATGGTGTGTTTAGGCTCAGGGACACTATTCTAGTTCGCGCCACAAGATGAGGCAAGTGGAGTGCTAGAAGACCCTGAACTAAGCGTCAGCAAAGATGAATACCTACTGATCCATGAGCTAGGTGTAGTAGTATAGTCTGTACAGAACCACAAGACGTAGCAAGAACCACTTCGTACCGCGCGTGCACTGTATGATCCAGGGACCCAGCCATAAACGCCACCTTATCGGCGCCATGGTTGAGCCTCACTCATGTAGACTCTTTCCTAGCTTTACGACAGACTTGAGGAACGCAGGGAATGGCGTCATTCCCGAGTCCGACAGTGTGTGCCTTCATTGAAGAGGTTTCCCCATCTACAAAAGCCGGACGGAGATGATGTCTCCAGGACCGGAAGGAGATTCGGAAGTGTCTCACATAGGAACCAAACGGTTGAAGGCAAGATCAACGAACCCCGCAAGCGCAGCTATATCCGGCTCCGACGAGAATAAGCAATGCCTTGTGGTAGACCGAAAGACAGTGTCTCACACGCAGGATATTGAAATTCTTGGTCCGCAAACAACGGCCTACTCGAGAGTTCTCTACTCGGAGGGCTTCTTGCTCATCATGTCGCGATCTGTGCCACGGTCCGAAGGGTTGATCGGCCCGGTTCTGCCAGGCGTTATGCTTAATTCTTCTTGCCCCGCCCAGCGCCAGTCCTACGCATGGTTAATTCGTGGGAGGAAACTTTGCTTGCGGCAAGAGAATAATATCGAATCCTTTGAGCCTCATTTGAGGCGCCATGTTCAAATTATATCACGGAGCTGCAAGCTCGTTTCCGCTTTCGACATGTTCCCCTGATTACGTGCATGAAGCTTGTGCGAGGAAAGATAAGCTCAAGGATGACGGTTGAATGACCCTCGCCTCCTCGGAATCACGGATAGAGGGTGGAGAGAGGCGGACAGACTCGGTTCGACCTGGTGAGTTGGCTAATTTAGAAGTGTATCTGATGATCAAGATGAATCGATGCGCCTAAGATCGGTGTATCGAGGTACCTTAGCTACCGAGACTGCAAGCAAAACGAGAATTTTGGAAACTCATCAGTAGGGAGGTCGGTGTCCTGGATCTTTGTGGCAAGCTTGATTGAGGAAAGAATTTTTGAAAGCTCTTCATATGCACAACAGAGCATTCTGACTCCTGAGAGACGAGGCAGCAGCAGTGACACATGCCCGGAGAATTGCTCCGGACCGCAAGGAGCATGGCGGGCAGGCTCCTGCGAACGCGCGGAACTATAGTAAAGGCCATTCCTGCTCTTTCAGAATGTCTAGCCTCTCATTAAAAAAATCTGTTCCTCTACACAGCATCTGGTGTGCCCTGAAGATTTCGCATGGTGTCTCATCATCTCGCGAGCCACGTTGGGAATGTGGGTTGAAGAGACCATTTGTCGCTGAAAAATTGCACATTATCTTCTTTCAACCACTGCCTTTACCATACAGCGTCGCGTATCAGCTTTCTATAAGATATACTGGCAAGTTGTGTCCGTGTAAGTGAACATCGAGGTTATGCGAACTAACCGCGATAGGACTCCGAGGGCTCGTAACCCCAGATCAGTCCACCAAGCAACGCTCGCGTGCATACCCCGCGGGAACGAGAAGACGTCTAGCCCAACTGATGTTGATCGTCAAGGCCTCTGTTCGCGCGGGAGTCATCTGCAATGCTCATTGCTAAAGGAGATCTCGGGTTGACAAGGAATTAAATCCTTAGGCTACCCCCATCGATCTTAGTCAACGGGAGAACACAGCAAGCTTTCTGAATTAACCATGACAAGCTTTTTGAACCCTTTACGACAAGAGACCATGTGCGGCCCCATCAAAGCCGACACACTACCCTGCCTCCCTCGCAACTGGGTGCTGACCCAGCAGGCCTCAGTCTTGAAGGATTCACCTCAAAGCGCCAAGCAACATGATGCCCATTTTCAGGGTGTGATGTTCAAGTCGAGAGAACATTAGAAACATGAGCAGTAGACGTGGTAGACCGCGAACAAGCCCTCAGAACTGCAACTTGTGATTGCAAGTACCATCCTCATGGTCGATATGAATACTCCTGGAGAGATCGGTGGAGTGCTTTGGAGTGAGGCTCGTGAGACAAACCCGCTTGTAACGCAACACATGGTATGCCATGCGTACTGGTCAAAGACAGACAAAATTGAGGGTAGCTGAAAGTGCTCAACCAAGTCTATGAGATGATCGAAACATCCCGTGTAAAAGAGTTCGAGATGCCGTTGAGGGGAGTGATGGCGAAGCGAGAAACAAAGTCAGTCAGCCGGCAGGTTGGAATAACCTTACTTTCCAATCGACCGATCCCTCGCATCTAACTCGCTACTCCTCAGAACGAATTCACCACTCACAATCCTTCTTCCCCTGTTCGATCACTTCAGCGGACCCTGCCGCACACACCTCAGCCACCACCCATATTAGTTATGGCGCCGTCCACCAATCGATGGTCACATCCATCATACTTGACGAAACTCTGTGTCCCACCCAGCCACACTCGCACCTCATACTGCTCAGCCACGCCTACGTCACCGCCCTCACAACGAGCTCTTGGCATACAACACCACACAGCACAAGCGACCCTTCCAGCCAAGTTTCCAAGGGTGATACCATTGTGTCACTGGTGCAATTCAAGAAAAGGTTGGGGAAGAAAAGCAAGCCAAAGGGGGAAGGGAGACGAAGGCCGGGTGTGGTCTGCTGCCCCTTCGTCACTGGTTCGTACGTGGAGGGAACCGACGTCTAACTAGGTATTTAATACAAGCCCGTTCCTTCTTGGCCGTTCATCCATAGTCCGTGATCCGTATCAACCACACAAAACACAAGCTCTCCACTGCGAATAACTTCGACAAGAACCACAAGGTACATTGACACTCCTCAAGTGGCAAACCGGCGGTCTGCGCACCCTCGGACCTTGGACTAATAATCTCTGCAGCAATTTCACACCTACACAACCTCCTACAAAGCACCAAACAATCATCATGCCCTTCTTCTACTCCAAGCCCATCGGCGGCCGCAACTTCGGCACCTCCGTCCACGCAGACCGCCACGGCGTCCACCGCGGTCCCTGGCGCATGCGCATCGGCCGCTTCAACTGCTTCCGATAGAGTCGACGCCACTCTCACGGCGTAAAGGTGTCGGTGCGATGAGCCTTCGGACAGCGATGTCGAGCATTTCGTCCTCGCTCTAGTCCTCTCCGCGTCTTCCAGGATACGACCTGAGTTGTCATCAGAATGAGACGACCAACTGAACAAAGCCCCATTCAACGCCTTTTTTCTATTCTTGTTCCTCTTTTCAACTGTCACGAGATCATGGATACCAGGAGTCTGTATTTGCGTTTATGACGGTTTTGACGACGGGAAAGCGAGCGTTTCCTGTCATTCTGTCCTTATTGAGTTTCTCTTGCGTTGCGATCACAAATGGAGATTGATCGTTTTGCGGATGGGTGGAATGATGCAATGCATACCTAGATAATACATTATTTCTTCACAACATATTGTCAATCAGTGAATTGTTGTGATATGCATCTGGTGTAATTAGTAGTCAGACCGTTTCCTTGGTGCTTGTCAGTCCAAAGTGTACCAGTTAATCTGGTGCTGTCTTTGGCAGGCAAGCTCGAGGGCAAAGCTTATATCGTCATGACCCAGTAGGCACACCCGCGTTTACTTATCGTCCGGCGAGTTTGACTGTGGAAATGGATGGCGGGAACGGCGGTTGAGCCGATGGTCAGACCTGCCACGGGGAAACGATAGATGACTAGACGACATATTAGATAGGCCGGGGAGTCAAACTTAGGTTGGGAACAATTCTCCTAAGTGAAGGTAATGCAGATAACCAAGCAGACAGAAGGACTCAGCCGGCAAGAACAGCCGGACAGCAAATAAGCACATGGAATGTCACTGGCGCAGAGTACAGTGCAGGGGCCAAAGGAGTTGGTGATATTCTCGAATTACCGAGCATATGAAGGATCCTGTTTTCCATCCCACCCAACGCCTTATTCTTGTCAATCGACGGTAGTAGTAAGAAACACACGCCTGAGTGAACGTCAAGTCGTTGAATTTTTGCTGCGGTTGTTTTTTTGTATTTCCTAGCACAACGGTACGAGCCATGCCAAGCCGCCAGCCCTGAATCATCGCAGAAACCGTTTCCGATGCATTCCCGTTCCCTGGATATGAGAGCACAACGCAAGTAACCAGGCGATGAAAACCGAACCCCCTCGCCCCGAACAGCTGGTTTTTCCTCTACGCAACCCACTGTGAGAAAACTTTTTACATCTTCTTCTTCGCTTAGACCTCGGTGGTGACCTTGGCCTTGGGGTTCGTGACCTTGACACCGAGCTGCTTGGCGCGGCCGATGATGTCGATGCGCTTTCTCGAGGAGACGTTGTGGGCGATCCTGTAGTGAGTCTGTCAGCTGGCTATGTTTTCCATCGGAAAGATTCCCTTCGCTCGGCTTCTCGGTCGGAGCTGGTAGGCGGGTGTGGGGTGGTACGCACTCGGCAGCGTAGGTGCGGTTGTGCATCAGCAGGAGGTTGACGTCGTTGACGTTGCTGACGAGGAAGGCCTTGTGGCCGGAGGGCATCATGTACTTGGTCTTCTTGTTGGAGCCGAAGCCGATCTGGAAAGCAGGAATGCCAGGTTAGCAGCTGTAACCCTGTGTCTCTAGGACCATTTCCATCCCGAAATTCGCTCCTCTTCTTGTTGATGCCTATTTCCGACCCCAACTCCAAATCTAGCAGGGAGGTGTCTCGACGTACCGAGGGCATGGCAGTGTTACCCCTGAAGCGACGGCGGACGCGGTTGTCGATACCCTTGGGCTTGCGCCATGATCGATCAACGCGCATAAAGCGGTCGCTCTGGTGGCGGTTGAAGAGCTTCGTGCCTGTTTAAAATAATACCCGTCAATCCTCTCGTTTCCAATCCAAAGTTCTCGTTCGGTTGTAATCATCGTCGGGGTTGTCGGGTACGCGGGGTCGTAGAGGGGTGCTGTGTCCTTGGGGAAGGAAAAAACATACGCTTCTTCACGATAGGAACGTGCTTCTTTGCGGCGACCATCTTTATGAAACCAAAAGTCAGTAATTAAATCACAATACCGACGACATGTCGATTGAGGATGCCGTAGCAATCGAATCTCACCTTGACGGCTGTTCCTGGCTATTGGGTTAGTCGGGGCGGGTGTACGTCGTCAAATTCGGGCTTCAAGGCGATCGTGAAATTTGGGCGACCACCATTTCGAATCGCACTGGACGTGGGCTCTTTCCGAAGCCCTAAGATTTTGTTGGTCACGTGTGGGCCGCCTAGCGGGGGAAAAAAAAAAAGTGCAGTGGCGGAGACCTGCTACTGGCCCAACAGGTCGCGCTAGTGGAAGGGACTTTTTTCGGTCTGCAGCCAATGTAATTGGCCTACCTGCGCAACGGAACTCCAAAAAAAAAAGATAGGTGTCGAGGAGAGCACGGACCAACTGTGGTGCAGTTGACGAGGCGGCATGTCCTGCATCGATCTCCCACGTCTCTGGAAACACCATTGTTCAAGAGAAAAAAAACAAATGCCAAATCCAGCAAAAGGAATTTCCCACACCGAGGTTCGAACTCGGGACTCTCCGGATGTCATTGGAAACATGAAAGCGGAGTATACTAACCACTATACTATATGGGACGTGGTTGTTGTTGGATGACAGGGGAGAGCACTAAGCTGTACATAGACGTCTAGCGGGGCAGACAAAGCCCATTACAGCAGAACTAGAAGCGGTTTGTGCTTTCCATGAGTCACCACTGTTCGCTATACGACTGCACCATGGTTGAGAAGCGATATAGCAACCATGTATTACGGGTCGCCTTTCATTCATGAGGGGGATGATGCCCAAACAACCAAGCAAAACTCCTCTCCAGTTCCCACGTCTATGCTCACCCCCCACACACCGTCCGGGTCGTCATGTCTGTCATGAGCTTCAGGGCATCAAGCCCAAGACTCTGTCCTCTAAAATCTCTATCCACCTCAACACCTCTTACTGAGGCTGGCACTGAGGCTGGCCATCTTCTTCATCTTCGTCTTCCCATTCGCCACCGAAACGCGGGTCTCCCGAGTTGGCGCCCATCTGTAGACATTTGTGTTAGCACCAGGTATCTGATGATGAGACGCCTTGTGAAGACTTACTGAATCCAGGCTATCCACCTCTTCGTACTCAACCTCATCGACCTCCTCGGCTGTGATGGGGGGAGGAGGGGGAGGAAGGAGCTTGTTCAGAGCATCGTACTCCTTATCATCCTTCAACCAGCCATCCTCAGGGAACTCAACATTGACAATCAGGTACAAGTCACCCTTCTCTTCGCCGCGCTTCTGAGGCATACCCTCGCCAGCGACCTTGAGGATATCACCGGGGCGGAGGATTTCGCCGCGCTGTCTTTCCATATGAATACCGCGGCCGTCAAGGTGCGTCAACACAACACGGGAAAAGCCACCGAGAGCCTCAGCAAGAGAGACATTCAGCTCGGCAGAGAGATCGTTGCCGATGCGAGTGAACTCGTCGTGGGGCTCCTCGGCCAAGTGGAAAACAATGTCTCCGGGGGTCTGGTCTGGGAACTGGTCCGCCTCGCCCTCCAACACGATCCTCTCTCCATTCTGGGAACCTCTGGGAATGTAAATCTCGAGGACCTTGGTCTCGGAGGTAGTGCGCTTGCCCTTGCACTTCTTGCAGCGGTCCTTCTCCTTGCAGAAGTTTCCGGATCCCTCGCAACGATCGCAAATAACGGTCTCTTTGCGGACCATACCCGGTCCGACCTGGCGGAAGGCCTCTGCCATACCGGCGCCTCTGCACTTCTCGCACTGCTGGGGCTTGACGTTTGCCTTGGCGCCGGATCCCTTACAGGTGCCGCAGACAACCTGCTTGTTTGCGGAGAACTTGACAGTCTTGCCCTTGTACAACTCCTCGAGCGTGACCTTGTAAGGCTGGTCCTCGTCGGGACCGCGACGCGGTCTTCTGGGACCGGCACCAGGGCCACCGGGGCCGCCCATGCCCATGCCGAACATTTGTGACAGAATGTCGTTCAAGTCGACCTCGACGCCGCCGGGACCGCCGGGGCCGCCCCGCGAAGGGTCGAATGCGGCCATGCCATGGGTGTCGTAAAGGTGGCGTTTGTCCTCATCTTTGAGGATTTCGTAGGCCTGGCTGACAGCCTTGAACTTGGCTTCCGACTCCTCTCTGCGTTCCTCGGGGACTTTGTCGGGGTGGTGAAGAAGGGCGGCCTATGCAAGACGGGTGAGTCAGTAAGGTGTGTTGCCGCTGGCGTGTGATTGTAGTTGTCGTTGCGACCAGGGAGAGGGGTTACGAACCTTTCGGTATGCCTTCTTGATCTGATCCTGCGAAGCATCCTTATCAATGCCGAGGAGCTCTGGAAAATGCGTCAGATGTGATCCACTGCGTAAAAAGTACCCCTGGGCTCCATAGGCAGAGTCTTACCGTAGAGATCAATATCTTCCTCCCCCGCCATGCTCGGTCCACCACTGTCCATGATTGAAGCTTCTTCGAAGGGCACTCGGGCAAAGTCTTGCTCGAGATTCGGCCTTCAGAGGAGTGATTTGCAGTTGTGAGAAGGGTGGGATGTGGAGTAGAATTGAAAATATTTTGTCTGGAGTACGGTGTACCTGCCGGTAGCAGGCCTTTGTTTGGCGGGGTACCCAGCATGCCCGCACCTCAGTGCCTTGCTAGGCGTGCGGCTGCTTTGCAGGTTCACAGCGCTACGGGTAACCTGCTGAGAGCGCGCGGCAGATGTCTGTTGGCAGTCGGCGGGGGTACCTTGTACACTACCTAGGTACGGTATAGAGGTAAGCAGCCCGGGCCCTAGTCTCCTTCCCCAGCCGCCTATCCGCCTGCACCTGTTCATCAGCAACCTCCACTGCTTTCCAGGTTTTAGAAGGCGGTGTCCAGCTGCTTGCCTACCTAATTATCTAAGGTAGGTTCCTCGAGACCTACCGCATTTCCTTAGATCCGCTGGATCGTTAAGTACTGGCTTAGTTGCCAAGGCACCTCAATACTTGTCGAGACTAAATATACTTGTGACTGGGACTCTCACCAACTGAGACGGAGTTCACCAGTAATTGAACAGGTTTAG